GCCATCGAATGGGAGCAGCCCGCCAAGATGCCCTGGTGCACCGCGTAGCCCGTCGACAACGAGCCGAACGCCTTGAGCCTCCTCGGCAAGTGGTGGTACTTCAGGATAGAGCACATGGGGCGAGGTGGATGCCCCATGCTCCTGGCCTCACCCAGCACACGGTCGGCGATCAGGCTATCGAACGCCTTCCACGCGCCCAGCAGCACCGTCACACTGTGGCCCCCATTGAGGTTGGTGACCTCCGCCGTCAGGTTGCGGTGGAACGCCGCCGCCGAGGAGGCCCTGCCCGCACCTCCCGTGCCTCGCAAGTTGGGCACACCCGCCTGGGCCATCCAGCTCCGCGAAATCGTCGACCTCGCCTTGGCCCACAGACGGAGCACCGAGTTAACCGGCGCGATGAACCTGCACCCCCCACTGCCCTTGGGGAGGCGGACCAGCACCGTGAAGAGCCTGCTGGCCGGCCACTTCCCCATCTTCTCGCACTGGCTGAACAGCGCCGACAGCACGTACAGGCCCATGTCGCTGAGGTGCGAGAGTGCACGCGGCGCGATCCCCGTCTGGCCCACGGCCGTCCTTTCCTTGAACTTACCCGCTGCTTGCCGTAGATGTCCAATACTCATCCTCGGCAGCTCCATCCACTCGTCAAAGTCGGGTGGCTTCTCCAGCGCCTTGACCTCGTGGTACGACCACGCATCCTTCCACTCGTCCAGCTCGCGCTCTGCCAGCTGGCGTGGACTGCCGCGGGTCGTGGCCCTCCTCGCCTCGGCCGCAGGAGGCAACCGTGTGAAGGCATGCGCTGCACGTGCGCCTTCCTCGAGGCTCTCGGCGGCCCAGGCCCCCCACTCCTCGTCGCATTCCTCGCCGCAGCTCTTCCGAAGCTTCTCCGCTCCATCGGCCGCGGCCTTGACCTTGGCTGCCCACTGCCCATGGCCCATCCGCTCGAGGCCGCCGTCGAACCACTGCACCACATCATCGGCGAGACGCCCCCGCACGCAGTACGACTTGGCCACATTGTCGTAGAAGCCCTGGATCTCGCAGAGCAGGTCCACTACCTTGTCCACGTCCACGTTGGTAGTTTCTGCCAGCAGCTTGATGAGACGGTCCCGATACCTGTCCAGGTGCCTGGCCCAGCGCGCAGCCACCATGTACGCGTCCACCTCGGGGTCGTGAAGCCGCCGCTTGCGGGGAGGCTGCCACTTGGGTTGGACCAGCTTGAACTCAGGCTCGCCGCCGCGTCCCTGGCGCTGGCGCCTCGCCTTGCCACGAAGAAGCCATCGGTCGCACAGGTCCTCCTCGATCACCCTCACCACCGCGTCCCACGCGTGCTCGAGGCCGCTGGTGTCCTCGATGGTGATGACCGTCTGTAGCGCCTCCCCCAACATCCTGACCCTGGGGAAGGGCGCCGCCCCCCTCGGCGGGACGGCCCCAAAACCCCGCGGCTCGACCACCACCCTCATGTGGTCGACGCGACCCACCCTGGCGAGGTCCACGTGCACTGGGTAGCGCGGGTACAGCGCCGCCTCGGTGGCGACGCGCGCCCTACCCAGCTTCGTGTCCAAATTGGGCGCCGCGATGACATAGCCCAGGCACGAGCCATCCTCCGCTTGCCAGCACGTAGGCCCAGGCGGCACGATGGGGATGCCTCGCACCTCCTCCAGCCATGGCCCATGCAGCTCGTCGATCTCCATGTTCCAGCCCCCCATGGCGTCCCAGTCCAGCTTGCATGCGTTGAGCACGCGCAGGTAGGTCCTCAGCTCGTGGACCGTGTCCGAGTTGTCGTCGCCCATGCCTATCGTGCGCCACAGGTACACGACCACGACGACGACGACGCCCTTCACGCCCCAGCGAACGTGCCCTGCCAGCAACCTCGCCCCCTCCAGGATGGGAGCAGGCACGAAAGGTGGCGCTGTCACCGAGACCACCGTCTTCGTGAGGAGCGCCGCGCCCCCCGACACGCCCAAGGGCCCATCGCCTGTAACCTGCCCTGGTGCCCACAGGCCCGTGGTAGCCGAGGTCGCGCACCTGGTTCTGCAACGAGCTCAGCTTATCTCCTCGCGCCCTGTGCTCCTGCGCCGCGAAGACGCCCCCCACGGGCGCGTCCGCCAAATACTCCGTCAGCCCACGGCCACATGAAACGTTCACCGTGGTCACCACACCCTTGGCAGTGCCCAAACTGCCACTCGCTTCATCATTCTTGGGAAACTCCGCCATGATGCATGAAATGATCAGTACCACTATCAGCTCCCACAACCTAGTACGCCTGGTAAGCCCACCCGGGCGCCGACGCCATGTTGCGCGCCATCGCGCGGAGTTCGGCCTCCTCGCTGGGGACGTCCAAGCCCGCGGCCACGAAGCTGGTCCTGAGCTGCTCGATCGGCATGCTGTCCGCCTCGGTCTTGATCCGCTTGGGGTCGGGCTCCTTGCTGTCTCCAGCGCCGCCAGGAGCCCCTTCATGAGCAGGGCGCACCACGCCAGCACGCTTAAGCACCTTCTCCTAGAGCTTCGGGCGCTGCAGCAGCCGCTCAGCCACGTCGCCCGAAGCCCCCAGCTCCTGCAGCAACGCGCCCAGGCCTTCCAGGTTGAGCCGAAGCCCCTCTGCCACAGGGGTGACCTTCTCGTCGGGTGGCTTAGGAATCTGCGCCGTGAGCTCGCACACCTTCTGCTCCAGCTCCACGGCCTCCACGCGCAGCACCTTGGCCTTGGCCTTCTCTTCCTCGAGGGCCAGCTGTGCCAACACGATCGCCTCCTCCGCTTTGGCCACCACCGCATCCTGCTTCTCGATGGCCTCCTGCTTCGCCTTGTGCTTGCGCGGGAGGCCGACCAGCTGGGTGAGCACAGGCTTCTTGGCCCGCAGCTCGTCCACCTTCGCCTGCTTCTGCGCGTCCAGCTTCTCTATGGTGTCCAGCACGGCTTGCGACGGCGACTCGAGCCCTCGCAGCGCACGCAGCTGGACGTCCAGGTTATCCAGTTCCTTCCGATGCTTCTCGTCCTCATCATCCTCGCCACTTTCGCCAGCAGACTTCGCCCCCTCGATAGGCCCACGTCCCGCCTTTGCCGCAGCACGCAGGCTCTTGAGCTCCTCCCGCAGGCGGCCAAGTTCTTTCTGCATCGCCGTCGAGTTCCCGCCACTTGCGCCGTTCCCGCCAGCAGCCGCTGAGCCACTCGGCTGGCGGCGCCGTGCCAGGCCCTCCTCTCCACGGGCGTGGCCGAGGAACACCTTGCTCTTGTCCCCGCCGCAGAAGAAGCAGCTGCGCTTGCTCCCGAACGTGATGCAAGGCATGCCCACTCGTGCACCTGGTTGGACTTGCACTGTTTGCAGTACCAGTCCGGAGTGAGCGCGCGTCCCCCACCGCCGCCACCGCGGCCTCCATGCGCCATGGTCCCTCGCCTACCCACAGGGGTAGCGAGGCCAGCCACAAAGCGAAGAGGGCCGCGCGCCGCGGGTTCCAGGCAGAACTGCGTTGCCTGGCTCGGAATAGAGCAATCCTTGCAGGCACGAGGGCGCGGAAGCCCTCTCGTGCAATCATCTTGAGCCAAAATGGCTCCGGAAGAGGAGGAGAAGGAGGCGGAGGAGGAGGAGGCGGAGGAGGAGGAGGAGGAGGGAGGAGGAGAAAGAAGAGGAGGAAGGAGGAGGAGGAGGAAGGAGGAGGACCAGTGTAAACGCACGAGTCATCAACGATGATGGAACAAACCCTTCCTCCAAGCTCCCTCTTCATAGGACCGTACAACGGTTCATTTCCATTGAGGGAACTGTCTCGTTGGAAGACAGCCGTCTGAAGATTCTGAAGCATGCCAAAACATTGTTCTTGGGATTCCAACGCCACGGATCAACCTGACTGCTGCGTCTTGGCGATCCTGAATCTCGCCAGAACGCCATTCCTGGGACTTCAACACTGCAAATTAACGTAACTGCTGCACCCGCATAATTCTGGTACGATGCTCATGGAAACCCGTGAAACTCTTGCAAATGTTCTAAACGAATTTGCGCGGCGCTAAAGCGAGAACCATCATATCTATATATACATGTATATATATTTATGTAAAAAAACAAAAAACGAAATCAAAAAACAAAAAAAAAACGACTCGCCATAAATCCGTGAAACGCTTGCAATGTTTTAATGCGAATGTGCGCGGCGCTAGAGCGGAGAGCCATAGTTTGAAAACGGCCCAACCTGCATATGTGAAAGTGTTGCCAACTCTTGAATGTCAGAATCATCAATGATGAGAAAATCTCAAGCGAAACGCCCGCCCTAAAAACTGGCCTCTGGGTGCGACAAGGAAAAATTATGTGTAAGGGATAGGGATGGAGGAGGGGGAGGAGGATTTCGTGGATTTCGCTCGGGACGCTGTCCCGAGGAGGAGGAGGAGGAGGAGGAGGAGGAGGAGGAGGAGGAGGAGGAGGGAGGAGGAGGAGGAGGAGGAGGAGGAGCAGGAGGGAAGAGGGAGGAGGGAGGAGGGAGGAGGAGAGGAGGAGGGAGCACCTCTGGCTAGCAGGGGAGGCGCCACCCCCCGCAGGAACGTGGGGGGGAGAGGAGGGGCGAGCGGTCGGGGGGGCGGGTATGGGGAGTGGGCTTGGCGAGCAGAATGGAATGCAATTACGAAGGGGTCCGCTCGATTCCATTCCATTCAATTCCATGTCATTCCATTACGTCTCCTCCCCGCTACGGAGGGCTTAGAGAGCTCTTCGTGGCAAGGGGAGGGAATCGAATGCAATGGACTCCGTCGCGGTGCGATGCGAAACGAAGCGAACTACGAGGGCCTGGCTCGGTTCGGCGAAACCTGATCCTTGGGCCAGTGTCCAGCCTTTGAAAGTTGCAGGATATCTCCCGCGGGTGGCATTCGACGGCGACGAGCAGGGGTCGGCCAACGGCTTGAGTGGAGAGAAAGGAGGTCGGGGAGAGGGGCAGGGGAGAGGGGCAGGGGCGAGGGGTAGGGCAGGGGGACTGGGAAGGGGAGAGGGCGCGGGGAGGGGGAGGGCGGAGAGGACGGACGCGGCCATC